CATAACTCATCAAATCAAGAATATTTAAACTAGACTAAGCACAATAGTGTAGCATCCTCACCTCAAGATTTGACTCACAAGCACCACGCATTTTTCACAACCCGCCCACTTACTCTAACATAGAGGTCAACGACATTACCTTTCCTTCATGAATCAAGTGCCCTCACACAACAAAAGAGAGTAGTTTCACACACACATAAAATTCAAGAATAATTAGGAACTCAATATAGAAAAAATTCACTCACTCTCAGAAACAACATTCATATGCCACAAAAGATGAACCATAGGCTTGCTCGTAGTGTACAACTCTACTAATCGAGCTCATTCAGTTAAGGATCAATTAGGACTTTATTTGGTTGTAGTGTAGGCTGCGGGACGGGTAGGATACATTTAAATATATGAGTGACTACACTTCCCTAAGCACTTTAATACATACACTTTAACATTTAAAACCCCACACTTATGCCAAATCATAACTCCACATTCACATCAATGTATATTAACTCCATACTTCTTTAAGCACAATTCCATCAAGAGTCACCACTATCAAGGAATATTTTTCACACAATACAACTACTTTTTTTTTTCTTTTTTTCAATTCAAATGGCTCTTACTTTTTCAAAATAGTGCACCTTTCTCCTTATTTTATTGGTTCCACTCAAAATCCAAACCATCACCCCACACTTTAACTTTTACAAAGTTCATTACAATTCAAGTGCTCATGAGAGGTGAAAAGGTTCAATAGATGATTAATTCAAACAAATGGGCAAGGCTTGTAATGTGGTTGCCAAAGAAACATGATTACATGCTCAAAGGGTTAACTACGATACATAATAATTAGGCGGGTATATATATATATATATATATATATATATATATATATATATATATATATATATATATATATATATATATATATACATATATATATACCTGGCTCAACAAAGAAACGCCTATATCACTTTCAAGACTGAACAAAACTACTATTTCGCTTTGCAAACACACGGGGCAAGTTCTAGACATCAAATGCAATGCACAGAATGACACACACATGGCACATAACTCACTCAAGATTGGAATCAACAAGACACTCTAGTCGAAGCAGTTAAGCAAAGTTTAGATCATACAATTTAAGATACTTATACAAGATCAAAACTCAGCCTAAGCGTCACAACAAAAGTACTCACTATTCTCAAGGCATAACAAAGTCAAGATATATTGCTTCAATTCCAATCACAGCACAATGGCTCCTACTCCTAAAAAATAAAACTAACTACACCCGGTTCAAACAAAACCCTTGGAAAAGAACCGTGGCACAAAGAAAAACCAAGGGGGAATTATTACACTGCCTAACAAAAGAAAATATTTTTGTCTTTTTTTCTTTCAACTTAAATCTCTCAAGAAACCTGTCGAATGAGATCCATCGTTGAGAAAAGTCCAATTTTTCTACTCTTTTTTTCATTTTTTTCTAAGAAGTTAACATTTTTATAACACACTACTACTAATTATCTAGAGAAATTCTCCCCCACACTTAAAAGAGTGTAGTGTCCCCAATGAAGCATAAAAAGAAAAACACAAACGAGGGTGGACAAGAGACTCCCCGAAAGGCCAAAGGCCGAAGCAATAGCGGCTCAAGGGGTACTCAGACTTTCCCCAGGCATGGTCCTTTGTGTGGGCACCCACACTTAGCTCTCACCATCTAGCTCGCTTTTGCACACTTCCTCTGGCTTTGCTTCCTATGCTCAAAATCCTACAAAATAAAATCACACTACAAAAATAATACAATAAAAAGAAAATTAAAAATAAAAGAAAGAAGTAAAGTTGGGTTGCCTTCCAACAAGCGCTTGATTTAACGTCGCGGCACGACACGAACCACTTTTTATCTCCATCTCGAACTCATGAATTGTACCCCTAACTGGGCATCCAGTCTGTGGCTATGTTCCTTTGGTGGTGATACAAAAATAAACAGGACAAGTAATAAATTTTTCACTCTATACTTCTCGGCCTTTATATGAGAAATGTAATTTTTTTCTCTTTGGCACGACAAATCCAAGAATGTAATCAGCATGTTCCTCTTCCAATGACTCATCCAAAGGCTCATATGACTCGATTTTCATGTCATCATCCAAACACAATATTGAAAAATATATGGAGCGAGGACCAATACGCTCCAACTCTAGATCTGCTTCACTATTTACATCCTCATTTGTACACACACTAGGGTTATCAAATATAGCATTATCTACTTCCTCATATGACTCTAGAGTGATTTCCTCAACATGGACATCATCAATAAAAGTATGGTCGAATGATTGACTCCCCACTTTTAGCTCCTCAATTTGGCGTATAAGCTCATTTTAAGTTTCACACAAAAGAACTATTTTGTTGGGCGTTAGACACAACAACCTTTGCATTCAATTGAGATTCCTAGTCGTGAATAGCAGTGCCAAATTTTTCGATCTCTTGTCCCATTTAAGCTCTTTCTTCTATTAAGTCTTTTATCCCATCCGTAAGTTTCTCACGTTGAGCCTCATATATTTCTAATCTTTCATCTTGTTGCATTAGCCAAGTTTGGCTCAAAATATCCTCTTCTTTGAAAGCTGCCTCTGGCTGGAACTCACTCTTTTGACCAATTTTAGGCTCTTCCTGACTATCAACTAAGTCTGCAGCTTGTTGATCATCGAATGTTTTAACTCATTCCTCTACTTTGGCCTTCATTCTCTTCATTGTGGCTTTGAGATTTTCCATCTCTTTTCGAAGTTCATGAGTTTTCTCCATTATTTACCTCAACAGGTCCATAGTCTGCGCATCATATTCCACATTCTCCATTTTGTTCCTATCAAACTCACAAAAATTATTAGAAAACATCATAATAAGGGCTCAAAGAAGAATAAAAGAATTAGGACAGTCATCCCAATGAATACCTTGACCACCACACATATTATAAATATTCCAATCATAAGATTGAGATGGTGCACCGAACTCGCTCTCGGGAATATTTTGACAATTTTTCCACCAGTGGGGTCCACCACAATATGGACAAGGATCATCAAAATAAGAATAACCATCATTCAAACAATTTTCATTTCAAGATGTTATGTCAAAATAAGAAAAGAAAATACTAACTAAATAAGAAAATTAAAAACTTGAACAAAAATCAACTAAAAGCTAAACTTAGATAAACAATTAATAACTACGTCCCGACAATGGCGCCAAAAACTTGTTGGTACTCCAAGTACACGTAAGTATACATGACCGTCAAAGTGACTCGAAAGTCGGACGTCGAACCCACAAAGACTTAGATCAATCGCTAATTAAGCAAACTAAATTCAATTAATTGTCCAAGGTAATCAAGAGTGATATTTTTCTATTAATCTACTGCTGCAAAAATTAAACAAGTAACAACTAATTTAACAAGAATGCAAATGTATATGTTGAGGTTTTAATTCAGAGGGGATGAAGATTCCAGGGTTGTGGTTGGTTTATCAATTCTATTAAGTTCACTAATCACACTCATTAATCCAGGTTATCTATGGTTGCTAATTAACCGGATCGTTTATATAAATAGCATGTTCCCACAATACTACTCGCCTGTACACAATATATCAATCCTATACTCCTATGGTATTGAGTCTATCATGAACGAATATAATATTGTATTCAATTGAGCAAGACTGTTAGGTATATTCCTATCCTAACCGTGAAATCTTTCCCCGAGCCACGGGTTAAGAAACAAGCTCTCTTTAATTCTACTCTAATATAAACATGGTTTTCCCAAGCATAGCATAGATAGTAGGGCGAATCTACATTAATTCACAAGTTAAACTAGAATTAAAGAAACAACCACAAGATGATAATCTGAATTAATAAAGATGCAATTAATAAACGTTAATAATCATGTCAACCACAACCCTAGAAACTAGAGTGCTTAGTCACTCATGTTCATAGCAAAAAAATTTCAAGTATTTTGCATAAACAAATTACAAAGAAAAGATGAAGGAACGAAAACTCGATATTTTCTCCTCCAAGAATGTTCCCAATGTCTTCTCCCCTTCAAAAGTCATGTTTTTCCTTCACAAGTCATGTCCCTCTTTCACTAGTCATGTTCCTCCACAACTCACGTACCTCCTTCATAAGTCATATTTACCCCCCACAAGTCACGTCCTCCCTTCACAGAAGTGAGTTTAAAGACTACTTATATCGGATAGGGTTAGCATGGGGTGAAATAATACAAGCCCACTTTGAAACAACCTCTTTAGGTTAGCTCGTTCACTCTCTCGTGCGCACGTGAGAGTGAACGAGCAAAGTTCTTCTCTCTCTATTTTTTAGGTCTCTCGTGCACTTCCATGCCTTTATGCTATACTTCGTTGTTTTTTTTTTTCAAACTTTTCCTCAATAGCTCGTTTAATCTCTCATGTGCACGCGAGAGTGAACGAGCAAAGTCCTTCTTTTGTCTTTTGGTCCCGAATCAACTTCTTTTGCTCACATTTCGTCCAACTTGCTCCTACACATAAGAATGCACATAATGAGCATAATTTCATTATAAAAACTCACGTAACCTACCGTAATCACACAAGTTATGAGACACAAGTGCACCGTAAAATACATCTTTGACCATTTATCAACACCCCACATTTAAACTCTTACTCGTATTCATATAAAGAAATTTGCCCTTTAAGCTTTTAATTTGACCAATGTCAAAATATTTTTTTATTTATTAAATTTTATATGGAGCTAAACTATATCCGAAGTTTGATGGCGCTCCAACGTGGTTGCTACATGTCTTCAAGTGTCTTGTCCATGCACAAGTGTCGCGTCCATAATCCCTCATGCAAAAATAATCTTTTTTTTTTCATTTTCTAGTCGATCTTTTCTCTCTTTTTTATTTTGGACAAGATGAGTATAAGTTAGACAAACGATAAACTAAACATTAATCTTTATCGGAAAAAGTTTTTTGCAATTACGAAAATTACAACAATATTAGGAACGAACGAGAACAAATGTCTAATGTATTGGCCATTTCACAGTGCCTTCTCAAGAAGACAATTCCATTAAACCACTCAACCTTTACAGCTCCATTAATGGTTAAAACCTTCAAAATAAACGGCCCAAATCTCACATCAGTTTCAGCTCAGATGAGAGCTATACAGCAAACGCCTAATGTTCCAGAATTTGATCCAATCCCACCGGAAAAGCCACCGTTGTCGCCTCCGAGCCCAGGCCCTGGTTTTCCAGGCCCACCAAATCCGTTACCGCATCCACCAGGACCAGATATGCCTGGGCCACCGCCGGAGATTTCTCCGCCTGGTGGTCCAGATGTTATACCTCCGGCTATTCCGGAGATTGTTCCGCCTGGTGGGCCGGATGTTATACCTCCGGGGCCGCCGGAGATTTTTCCACCGGGTGGACCGGATGTTATACCTCCAAAGCTGCCGGAACCTGGGCCGTCGCAACCGACGGATATTCCGCCGCCCATTATCACTTTTGGGCCTGTTGTTTTTAGGGCAAGTGAAAGATTTTGATGTTAGTGAAGGCTGATTATGAAGACGTTTTTATGTTCTTTTGGCAAGTATAGTGTTTGTTTCACTAGGAATTTCTACACTTCAACTTCAAAACAAGATACTTTAGATTTTTGTATAGGTTCTTCATTATCTTTCTTTTTTCTTTTTTGTATTTTTTTGTGTTAATAAGAAATCATTCGAAAATGCGTTACAATTAATGAACGGGAGAGCTCATGCTGAAACAGCAAAAAAATTAATTACTGTAGTTTAGTTTTAACTTATACCTAAGGTTTAGAAGACTCTGTTGCGTTGCGTCTTTAGATAATGGACACTTTTAAAGCTGATTTTTCGTATTTAAACTTAATTTTTGAATTAGGGGCGATGGTAGACCGATCGAGATATAATTGAATTAAATTCAAATTTGATGAGTTTAAGCCTTTAAACTAAGGTTGATAATTCGTTCTATTTTTAATAGAATTGATTTACATAATATTTATTTATATATTTAAACTTCACATCAAAAGTATAAATTTCGATTTTACTTGTTTTTTGTGAACGCACTTCATTTGCCACTAGAGACGGGGAGAGAGGGGACAGCGGGTGATGACAAGGAATTCAGGCTTGTGAAAAAACAGAATATCTTTTCCTTTTATACTTGAGATATACAATATATATAATTTATTGATCTGATTATTTTAAATTTTTACAAAAAGAACTTACTAAGATAGTAAACTGATTTAACAAGAAATTCTTTATGCTTCACGCTCGAACTCGAACCTTTTACTTAAGGATTTAAGTATAGTACATACCAATAATGTAAATAATTTTACCAGAAAGGGTCAAAACTATCCCTATCATTTACTAAATAATTTACGGTTATCCTTCGTTCACTTATTCATCCAAAAAAGCACACGACGTTAATTTTATTAACAAAATTATCCCCGCGACTAACGGCAGAACCTGTGGACCTTCTATTTAATGAGGTGTCATATTTTTATTGGGTCACATGACATTTTGGGTCAAAGTCATATGTGTTTAGTACCCGTCCCATAAATCGAACCTGCCCTACTTTTTTTACAATCCGAGTTAAAAAAACCTTTCCGGCTTCTTCTTTCTCCTCTGTTTCATCCTTTCATGACTTCTATGGTCTGCCCCTTTTTCTCACTGGTATCTTTTCTTCGCCACTTTCAAGATCCTCGCGAACAGATTGTAGTACAAAAGATGAGGGCATAAAGCACTGAAATTATAAATTTAATTTGATATTTGAAGAGCTTTGAGTTATACAAGTAGACATATGGACTAAAATTGATGTGCGATTTGTGTCTAAAAAAATCAATCGAATGTCGTTCTTCCGCCATTTCTGAAACATTGTGTCTTTCTCACTTTAAAATCTTTTCTCTCTCTACAAGTCCAATCGGTTAACCCATTGGAAGATTCCTCGGATTTTTCTTTAACAACAGCCCAAATCTCCTGTAAACAATGACCAAAATGTTTATTTAGTTCTTTAACGATGAAATCTCACATCCTTGTTTTGACCCATTCCTCATGCAATTGTTTATTTATATATATCAACATAAAAGTAAAATAAACAAAATAAAGAATTGAATTCTCTGATTTTGCTTTCTCGAATTGATTTTCAGATTTGGGTTTTATCCAATTCAGCTGAATTTGAGCCCATCAGATAATGAAAATGTTGAAACAATTGGTGTTAGCTTTTTTAATTTTACTCAGATTTGTTTTTGAACTAGAGTGTCACGTGACCCAATAAAAAGACGCCAACTCATTAATTTGAAGGTCCAGCTGATCTGCCATTAAACGTAGGGGTATTTTAATTAATAAAATTAACATAGTATGTACTTTTGGACTAATAAATGTACGGAATATGTATTTTTGGACTGATAGATGAACGAAGGCTATAAGTAAATCATTTATTAAACAATAAGGATCGTTTGGGTCCATTTCCCTTACACCATAATAATCTTAAAAAAATCACTTATAGTGAGTATAACTTTTTCTGGGTAGGGGTAAGATCTGCGCATACTGTATCCTCTTCAGACTCTACTGATGAGATTTTATTGAGTTATTGTTGTTGTTGTGGTGACTACACCCCTTGTATGTAAAAATTGAAAAAGAACATTCAACAAATTGGGAAGGACAGAAGTCAGAGTTGCATGACATCCACGTGTCTCCTGAATAACACTCAGATATACAAGGTGTCTCTACGCAATTCTCACTTGACTATCCAATACACTTTCTTATATATCTACAAAAATCAATCTCCTCAAACATCTTAGAATTTATTAAAATGCTGAGAGTTTCAACAATTTGGGCAAAATACTCGTTAATGAAAAGAATCATTCCTATAGCCAACACAAAATCTTCATCCCTTGTTCTAACTTCGAATACTTCACTACTTTGGCTTAGAAAAATGAGCAGCCAGGAGGCAGAGCCAAAGACTCAAAATATGCCAGGCCAACATGACAAACTTCCATCTGATTTTCCTACTACCGCAACGCCACCGATCACCACACCCACCGACGCACCGCTGGCGGTGGAGGATTCACCTTTTGTACCTGATTTTGATGCTATTCCACCCATAAGACCAGGTGATAATTAGACGTTGATTCAGGATTTAAACTTTAATTAACGGTTTGTTAGTTTGGATTTTTATAGCCTATTTTATTATAGTGAATGTTTTTCACATATATACTGTATACAGAGTACGCGCAGTAACTTTTTTGTTAAGAATTTTACCAAATATGTATAAAAATTAAATTCAAAATTCAGTTACAACACCTGATGTTGTGATCCTAACGATCGTAGAGTTTAGAACTCATAGTATTCAAATCCTGATTTTAATTCTAAATATGAGTTCATATGTTAACCAATACATTAACACTATGTCTATCCTAGAACTCATAGTATTAAAATCATGATTCTGATTCTAAAATATATTAACCAGTATAATAACATTATATTAACCTGTCCTTGCAGGTGAAGACCCTCCAACGCCATCACCGTCGCCAACTGCACCACGAATTGACAGTCCAGAATTTTCTGAACCGCCGAACACCTCACCGCCTAGCCATGAAGCACCACGGCCGCCGACTTCGCCGCCTGGACAACCGGAAGCGTTTCCACCACACGCTCCGGATGCCAGACCTCCGAAACCTCCAGATCCTGCAGAGCAAATTAGATCATCTAATGTCAGATCTGAGTAGTAGTAGTGTTTAAAAGATAAATGAAAATTCAGGTTCCTGTAATTTGTTGATTTATTGCTAAGAATGGTTATTTGCACGTTTCCGCGGTTTAATGAGAACAAAATTATTTTTGAATTCTATTTATTTATGGTCGCTCATTTTGATCTTTAAATGAAGGTGGAGGCGGAATTAGAATTAAATTCTATAATTCGACTATTAAAAAATTAAATCGACGAGAAACTTTTATAATCACACAAAAGTTATGGCCCTACAAAGTTTCACCCCTTAAGCTTTTAAGATCACAAATTTTAAAAGTTCTTTTTTTTTTAAACTATTGCCCCACAAAGTTTCTCCCCTTAAGCTTTTAAGATCACAAATTTTAAAAGTTTTTGTTTTCTTAAATTTTGTGTCGAGTTAAACTACCTTCATTTTAAGCGGAGGAAATATTTATTTTTGCGTTAATAGTTAAGAGGGACGGTTCTTCTCTAAAGCAACTGTTCTAGTGTGGGCTTTATTTTTTGTTATGTTAGGCATTATTTTTTGTTACATATAATAGATTATATATAAGTTAAGAAAAAGATAGATTATATATAAGTTAAGAAAAAGTTATGAGAAGTGAAAATATTTGATTTTAAAATAAAATTAATATAGAGAAAAAGAATTTGCGATTTTGTCAAGGAAATTACATTTGAGATAAATATCAAATCCGAATTTCGTAAGAAATATGTGATATATAAGAAGAAATAATTTGATTATTGGAAGAAACAATTTGATTATAATGTAGATAATGAAGTTTCAAAATGTCTCGAAATTTTTTTTAGGGTTGGTTACTTTTTATATATAGTAGATAAGGTTATTTTTTCACTTTAAAATTGATTTGAATAATTTGAAACACAAGAAAATATTTTGATTTTTTGTTTAGCGGTAAAAAATGAGATTATTTATTTAATTTGAAAAATATTACCTAACTAAATTTGAATGATCCTTAAAGCATAATAATCAATTTGATATTGAAGGCTTAGATTTTTTTTTTGAATTAAAAGTGTTAAGAAAAATTATATAATTAGCAGATATCAGTTTGATTGATATACTAATCAAATAAAATGATTTGATTCTTTTTCAAATACCTACATTACTTATAGAATAATGTTAAAGGCTCTTATTACCGTTGCTTTAGCAGAAAGCTTTTTAAAATTAAAGTTGATAAAATTTTACCTAAGATCAATAATTTTTCAAGAGAGGTTAAATGGATTAGCTATATTGTCAATTGAAAAGACCTATTAGGGGAAATTGATTATAAGAAAATTATTAATAAATTTACATCTTAAAAAAAAGCTAAAAATAGACTTTATATAAAAAATAACATCTTTTTAAAAAAAAAAAGTCAACGCTCCTCGTAAAGTTTAATTTTAGACTACAAAATTCGTTGGGCCGCGCCTAATAGTTAATATGAGTATTTATTAAAATTTTAGTGAATTACCTTATCTATATTATTATAGAAGCATAAATAAAATATTGGATTACAAAAATAACCTTTTAATATTAAGCATAATAACTCATATTAAATGACATAATCGGAATTCTAAACATTATCCTTGTAATCCTATTACTTTTAGGATATATTTCTTACAAAATTCCTATTACTAATTTAATTAAAAAAATATATTATATTGTTCAAATATTTAAAAAAGGGAGAGCCCATATATGATTATAAAAGCACGAATATAATATTAGTAAATCAAAATAGCTCCAAAATATTAAACAGAAGAACTCATAAGGAAATGACATAGCTGTAATAACTTATTTTTTGGACTACAATAACTTCTCTGTTAAATTTTTTTAATATATATGATTTTAAAATTAACACCATCTTGTCTATTGAACTCTTTCAATTTCATAAGAATCCTCCATATTGGTAATACATTACCACTCTATAATATTCAATACCAAAAAAAAAAATCTTAATACTAAACGGACTGCATAAAGTGTTGAAATTGAGAAAACATTCCAACGATAATATATTACTATATTATATTTGAACTGCTTTCCTACTCAAATAATTTTTTTTATTATTAATTTTTCGTGTAATATAGAAAACTATACTCAATTATTAAAGAACAACTAAGAAATTTTTTAAGAATATAAATGTGTGAGAAAAGAAAGAAAAAGGTTGATAGGAGCCAATACCATTAATAATTTTACAAACATAATGGAATGTTATCGATCTTTTTACTCTTTAAAAATAAAATTTGTGGTGGGTAAAATTATAATCACGGTTAAATATTCAAAAAAAGAGATGAACTAATATTAAGAATCTAAATCAACAGAAAATAAATTATATTTTATGTTAAAACCAAATAATCAAATCTTTCCATTAATTATTTAGCAAGAGAATCCAATTAAATTATTTTTTAAATTCATCATATGAGTAAAATTATTTTTTAATTAAAAAATATCTTAGGGTACATAAATTTATTCCATAAAAAGAGTGTTAGAGATTTAAAAAAATAGATTACAAAGTAAAAAAGATTAGTATAATATTAAGAAGGCCAAACAAGTGTTTGAGAAAGCACAATCAAAACTAAATCCTGAACAAGAATAAGCTTTCAAGACTATATTATAAAAAATTGACTTTGGTATAGCGGGATTATCCTTTGTATAAGCCTCCGGCGAAATCGAAAAAATATTTCTATGTCATGCATTACTTGCAAATATCCGATCAAGGGGCATGATATTGTTAGCAATAAGAACAAGTGGTGTACCAACAACGATTTTATTATGAGGTCGTACAACCCACTTTAGATTTGATTTACTTCTTCAAATAACTGAAATAACCATCATAAATATATCAAATCAGAGCAATAGTGCTAAATTTATAAGGAAAGCAAAAGTGATAATATGGCATGAATCGCTTTTGGCTAAGCGTCAAACGATCGAAACAATCGCCTAGAGTTTTAGAGATATGTTGGATATCGATGAACCGTTTGCTGGAAAAGTAATAGTTTGGGAAGTGATTTCTGTCAAGTACGATTAGTAGTTCCAAAATTGACCAAAGTAGAAACTATAAAAGCTAGCTTGCCAAAATTATACTTATGACCTCAAATGAAAAATATTCAAATGACAAGAAGTGTAAAAGTAAGAACAGATCCAACATTCAGTGACTTCTTGCCTCGCGTCAGAAACGAATAAGAGCATCCAGTAAAAGATGATTTGGTTCAGAACACTTGGTTATCAACCCCAATGGTAATAGTAGTGCATTTAATAAGGAAAATATATATTTTCATCATTCGATTAAAATACAATTTGTGCAAATTACATGGTAGAAATTAAAGAGCTATCTTAGCTAGAAAAAACGAATATATTGATCAACTAAATAAAATATTAGTTGCTAAGTTTTATGGTAAAAANTATATATATATATATATATATATATATATATATATATATATATATATATATATATATATATATATTTATAATAGACTAAGTTAAAATTGATTTTCTATTGCATATACATTAATTTTGAAGAAAAATATGTATGTCTTGCTACTGAAAACTTAGATCCGCTGAATAGCTTATGTAATAGCACGCATACGATATATAGAAGTTTTGACAACGTCATACATGCAGAACTTATGATACTGGTCAATATGCTTCTAAGTATGTGTTTATCCCCGAATTCAACTTTTGTCTTGCGAAACTAAAGAATATCCTTTTAAGTTTGTGTGAAAATAATTTTCAGTATTTTTATATTTTGTACTTATAATAAATAAAGCACAAGGACAAACATCCTAAATATTGAGTTATATTTACTGCAATATATTTTCTTACGAATAACTATATGTTGCACTTTCAAGAGAGATATCAATATCGGCAACAACAGTTCTGATTGTAGCAGAGTAACCAAAGCATTAGAAGGAAACATATAGAAAAAAAAAAAACTGTCTATATAGAAGTATTCGATAAGATACCATCACATTAGATACCTTTAAACTACAATACATAATTATCTACGTAATATGACTAAAATTGACCATTTATGTAAGTTATTATGATATTCTTTAATTTTGAATTCACGTATTATGCTAATGTAATAATATTTTTCGGCACTTAGATGATTGTTGTAGCATTATATATAAAATTTCTCTCATTAATTAAATTTATTATTCCTTCATATAAATAAATATTTAAACCATCATGTGTCATTATTAACGTGCAACGCACGTTTATAGATACTAATATATTCATACTTATCGTATAAAAAGAGAAGTAACGAGAACTATTATGTGAAGGAAAAAAGAAAAGGACGCGTGAATAGTTCGAATTAAATGTATAGATTAAGAAGTAGCAAAATTATTGCCGTTCCTCTAAACTTGTTAATGTAAAGTGCTAGCCTTCACTAAGTGGGCGTTTGGACATAAGAATTGTAAAATTATAAAATAGGGTAAATTCTTTTTTTTTTTTTTTTTGTGAAAATGGTATTTGAAATTTAGAATTGTGTTTGGATATGAATATAATTTTGGGTTATCTTTGAAGTTTAAGTTAAGAGAAGATATAATAAGACGAGAACTAAAGGGGAAAAAACAGAGGATTTAACAGCAGAAAAACCCAATTAATAGCGGTTTTATCGCAAAACATGACAAACGGAATAACCAATAGGACTTTGACACGTTCAATCAAAGCTAGTTCGATTGGTTCAAGCTTTGATCGAGAAGTTTGATGGACTATTAGAAGCTGGGTCAAAATTAATAGCATGTTTCGCCAAGCTGTAAAAATCAGCTTATTTCGAGAAGTATTTTTTCTCGAAGGCGTTTTTCTCAAAAGTACTTTGGTGAGAAGTAGTTTGTGTTTGGCTAATTAATTTGAAAAACACTTCTGAGCAGCAAATAGTATTTCAATCTTTTTAAAACTGTTTCTAAATATATTTTTGTCAAAAATACATTTCAAAAAAGTATTTTTGGAGGCACGTTATTTTTTTCTGTTTCTCCTTAAAAACACTTTTTTCCTTTCAAAAACTTAACCAAACACTTCAACTTTAAAAGAAAAATACTTCTGGAATTAGAAAAGCTTGACCAAACAAACCATAAGTATCAATCACCTAATT